CCCCCCGCCCCCCGCATCGCTCCCTCCCGCGCTCCCTTCCCCTTCTCCCTCCTCTTTCTCTCTCCCCATAACTGTTTTCCTTCTCTCTCTCTTTTTCCCGCTCTGCTCTTTGCACGCCCATTCCCCTTTCTTGATCATCTGAATCTTGGACCCGTCTTGCGCTACTTCTCGCGCCTTTTCTCTTCTCACCCTTTGAGTCCAACGCACGACGCCCGGTCGATTCGTCGATAACTCTCGTTCGCTAATCAGATGCGTGGACCAATAGGATCTTCCTATTGCGCGACGAATCTGATTGGTTGAACCTCGAGTTCCGAGAGATCAACATGGCGTTCACAGAGGACTCTTCTCAAAGTCTTTTCCTCCCGCTTCTCCTCTTACACCTCATCTTCCCCGTCGCTTTCTCCCCCTTCTGTCTCCCTTGTCGCAACTATAAAACCCGCAAGCGCGCCTGCAAATCTCTCTTGCGTTCTCGACTCTCAAGCCAGCTTCCGGGAAGCAGTGGCTAGGCAGAGCGTTCGGTGCGAGTCGAAAAGTCCTGTCGGACTGACGATAGGCTGACCGGTTGCGTGCTGGATCGCCACGACGGACTGTGGGATCTGGGCGAACCGTGTCGAGTTTACGACAGCGGGGTGACGATCGCAGTGGTGGGAGTTAGCACGCGGCGGCCGAGATCGTCGGTGTGGGTATGAGGATCGATGAGTGGAGTTGAGTGAGTGATTGGCCCGGGGCCATATTGGATGAGCCTTTGTTGTTGCGGATCTTTTTCTCTGACAACGCTGAACTTCCTTCTTTTGGGTTGCGTCATCTCCTATCTCGACTGTCCTCCCTCACCTTCCCCTTCTCCTCTATCTTTGAATAATGATGTGTCTTGATGCTTCTCTCCTTCTCTCTCTTTTGGATGAGCATGAATCTATATGCTGCGTGAAAGAACTTCTTCCGGAACTCTTCCATTAGTTTCCTGGGTAATCCTCCTACGCAAGGACCCCGTCTTCTTGTCTTGTGAACGGTGGATGCGTGTGTACTGTGCAAGTGATCCATCTTTTCCTGTGCATGGCTCATTTTTCGCACCTTCCATAGTGGATGTATGTATGGAGATGTGTGACCCCTTTTTTTGCATTGATTAGACGATTATCGTCGGGATTTTGTTCGAGAATGCAAGAGTGTTTAGATCTGTAGATCCGAATGTACTGCGCATGCCATCTGCCTTATGCTGCACGACATCAGCAGCCGAGCTACGGGGCGGCCTCGAGTAACAAGGCGCCTGTGATCAACGTCGCACTGGCTCATCAAACTTGAGCCACGGATCGGTCCCTTAGTCATATGCATGACCAAGTTGTTGAAGTGTCTTCTTTCGCCCTCTCTCTCTCTCGTGCTAAAAGGGATCGATTGTGAGTTGCGCGAGTGTTTTCTTTTCTTGATGACATCGCAAGGTCTTTACAATTGATTGATATGTGGACTGGTCAGTACCCTTCGATCGGGCACCAGCCTCCCGTACCTCCCGTCCCAACACGACCTTTTCCCTACAATGAGGGAAGGACACGTGTATGCGAGTGGGACGTACGAGAAGCCGTTGCACAAATCGGCGGACGATATTACTTCCCTCCGGCAAATCGTTGTTCAGGGTTCGTGGAGGTTGGGTTTGTCATTATCGATACGCATTTCCCACCTTACTTGATATTGTTGCCATTCAACGAGTTGATCGTCATCCCATGAACGGCAGTAGAACCCCACTGGCCGTGCACTCTATGCACCGAATGTCAGCGTTTTGAGCGCTACGAATCCAGGGGTTTCCACTACCGTGTGCGGAGTGAAGACGAGCATAAAGAAAGAGCCACGCGGCTGAGACCATCCACGTCAGACTTGGAACTGACCAGCGAACGACGATGAGATTTGATACGTAAACGAGACACGCGAAGCGTGCCAACGCCTTTCCGTTCTAAACGACGGGCTGTAGCCCGGTGGGAAGCCTGACAATACTTTTTGGATTGAATTTGGATTTTTTTCGCGCCGTGCCCGCGTGTGCATTCTGCGACGCACGAAAGCAACCGACTTACTTCATCGGACCAACACGGGGGATTTCAGTTCCATCTGTGTCCCCACACTCAATTTCCAAAAATCCTTGGCACACCCCATCTTGCTGTTTTTCTGGGCCTCTTTCCGCACGCCTAACACTCCGAACGAAAGACAGCACAGGGCCTGAGGTTGCGCGTCACATGTGTGTGTGTGTGTGTGTGTGTGACGGATGTAGATATTGTGAACCTGAATGGGAAGTTGTCCACATTCAGGGCACACGAACAGAGTACAGCGGCGGATAAACAGCTATAGAAAGAACATTCCCGTGAATAGCGGATCAAAAAAAGCTAAAGAACGTGCGGACAACGGATGACTGAAACGTC